TACCACTGTCTACAACAATCAGGATATAGAGGTGACAGAAAGGGGCTGCCCAAGTGTTAAGCTTGTTGTAGATGCCTTGGTGGCTCAGAACCAAACCACCTCCTCTGATACAGGCAATAAAATGGCATAACTGAATACAGGGTCTTAGCTCTACAAAATCACCTTCAAGTTAGTGAGTTCCCAGCAGGTAATCACCATTATGTGTGGTGCAATTTCAAAACCAGTCTGATTATTTTACAATCCCACTTTCTAGGCACTCTAGTTTTGTTGTTGTTGTTGTTAAGTATCGTTGAGTCAGTTCCGACCCATAGTGACCCTGTATAGAGTTTCTGAGGTTTATGAGAGCAGAAAGCCTCATCTTTCTTCTGAAGAACCACTGGTAGTTTTGAGCTGCACTCTGGTTTGTTGTTGTTGTTGTTAAGTGCCATCGAGTCGGTTCCGACCCATAGAGACCCTGTACAGGGTTTCCGAGGTTGTAAATCTTTACGGGAGCAGAACGCCTCATCTTTCTCCCACGGAGAAGCTGGTAGTTTCGAACTTCTGGCCTTAAGGTTCGCAGCCTGATTCGTAACCACTACGCTATCCTGATAATTCCAGTAACTGGGGAAATTTCTTTTCCTAATTGTATTTGGAATGAGGATTATGGTTTCTTTGCTAAGGTAAGAATAATAGAACATGGGCACTCTTGTGTCTAAATACAACCCAAGTGTGAGGAATTTGTACTCTAGGATTTGTGACCCCTGTAACTAGGGAATTTCAAATAGTCAAAGATTTGCAATATGACTTTTCCTCATCATCCTCTAATATATCTCCTCAAATAAGAAAGAGGGAAATTCTCACTTTCCTAATCCTAGTAGTAACCATCTAGTGGCCACTGGATCTGTTGCATACAGAATTATGACTAACCATGTAGCTACTCAAAAATATTTCATCAACTGTGAACCATTCAAAAATCATTGGAGTCATTGGCCAATATTGTCATGGACCATCATATAGTCAATTGAGTCCTGGTGTGGTGCTTTGTGTTAATGCACTGGACTGCAAAGTCAGTTTGAACCACAAGGTTGATGGTTCAAGCTCACCGGCTGCTCACTGGAAACCCTATACAGGATCGTTATGA